GATAAGTCGCCCAGATCCTTGTTCAGGAACAAAGGACTGACTCCCCGGGCCGCTGAAATGCAGCAGCAGGCACACAGCCCTCAGCTATCAGCCGCCTTTGGGGGGTTCTCCGTAACAGAGAACAACCTTGTCCAAGTCATATGTCTTTTCTGGATGGGCTGCATCCAATAAATGATTGTTGCAGGAGTATGAAGGCCTGGACCTCTTGTCCCAAAAGTGGGCAGCCCTGAGGGATAATTTTATCTTTTAAGCTCTCCCCCAGATAGCACTGCAGCTTGACTTGTCCCTCTGCTCAATTCTGTTTGCTTCCTTTCCATTCCACAGTCGAGGAATCCAAGAGCGCTCTCTAAAAAAACCTTCTGTCTGCTAATCTCCATCTCAGAGTCTGCCTGTTCCAGACTGAGTTTTTCAGGGAGCAGAGAAAGAAAGAAATACAGTGAACACCGTGGTATCTCCCTTTTGCTTACAACCTTCCCTTAAAAAAATCCTTTTATCTAATGGAGTAGGGCTTGGGGGGAATAAAAAAAAAAAGGGAGGCATAAGCCAAATCTGAATCTTGGAATAAAGTGTGACATGGAAGACACTGGACTAAAGAGCCTGCGAGATACAAATGGGACCTTGGTGTTCACTGTGCATCTGGTGTCACCGTAGTTACACCCATGTTTCACCACCTCCTCCCTTTGACAATGCTTAGCGAAGAACTGTCCCCATTTTACATATAACCTAGCCATTTGTAAATATCTGGATTCTTTTTTTTTTCCTAGAATTTATATGTTAAGGGTTAGAGGTATGCCTGTTTGGAGGAAGTCTGAATGGCAGAGAAAAATAGGTCAATCATGCTCCAGAAGTTGATTGCACCAGTAGGCTGCATGCTTGGAGAGTAAGGGCAGTGTAGTAGTGTTTGAAAGCGTGCCCGCTGAGTGGGGGCCATGAGTCTAGGTGGGGTTAAGTGCATTCTCTTCTTTCTTAACTGCACCATGGTGGGTGGTAAAGAGGAGAACTCATTTTTTGTACTTTTGTATGGATGAATGGTTGAATTTGCTCAAAGCTCTTTAAAAGATCCCAGCAGGTATGTACAAAACAGAAGCAAAAGGAACATATCAAACTGAACCTGACTTGTCCATTCATCCCAAACTAGCCTTCCAAGGTTCTTGGGGAAGGTGAGCTCAGGGGTGAAACTCTTTGCCTACCCTTTACAAAACCTCACTTAAATGACCAGAGATGAAAATAAAGCCCATATTATTAGCACTAGAAGGTAAAGAAGAATGCCGTTCCACCAGTGCATTTTTTAGGTTATTGATAGCATGTAACCAGTAGAATGAGATGGAAGTCAAGGGTGGCTTCTGCTTTTCTATTGTGGATTAATAGCATTGGCTACCCAGGGAAAAGGGAGCTTAGTCTTTTAAGTCTAAACCAGCGCTACTTTTTCCTGATATGGGTGGGTACCAGGAAGGAGGCAAACTGTGGACATCACCTTAAAGTTTAACAAAATTTGATTAAGAAAGCCAATCACCCCTGGCACAGCAACTTCAAACAGTCAAAGCCAGTTTCTTTATTGATTTCCCTTAGGATGAAATGCTATGGAAACTTTAACAGAAGAATGTTGAAAAGAATGTTGTTTTAATTCTGGAGTGTATAAGGGTTTAGTTTTATTTCATCCAAGAAGACTCGGGTCAGCTATTTATTACCCAAAATTAGACTTTTCCAAGGTTCCACTCTTACGTCTCCCTTAACCCTTAAACTCTTTTTGTAAGAACTATTGTTAATGAATAGTTTATCACTTCTCATTGATTCAGGGTTTGGCAGGTAAAAGTTAAAAATGAGATTCACGGAAGATAAGGGTATGGGGAAACAGGCATTTCCCTAAAAGACACACAAAATCAGTTTGACTGTTTTGTGTAAGTGACAAATTAAAATTGATTGTGAAACCCTCAGAGATTCAGGTTGCTAATAGCAGAGACTATTCTGGGGGAAAAAACAATCTATCTTTATATCTTTACGAAGAAAGGTTTTTTTCTTCCCTAATTTATTAAGTGTTGAATGATTAAAAAAAAAAGAATGTATGAGTTTGATAATAAGATACCCAAAGTCACTCACTCAAGAAGCCTCAACTTAATGAAGGCCTTCCCAGGGAAGCTGCTGAAGTATGTAACCAATGACTCCCTAGACCAGATCCAACCCCCTCCTGTGCTCCCAGAGCATTCCAAACATCCTTTAATATCTCTCATATTTCTCATTCTTGTAATTGTTTCTCATTTTTCCTGCCAGGCACTCAAAACCATTAAGTGAGGTAATAAGTAATGTCTCTCTGGTCTAGAACACAGATAGACATATCCGTTGTGTCATTTGAAGTATTTGGAACAGTTCCTCTGATTCTCTACATTCAAGATTAAGACTTTGAGAAAGCGTGAATTTTATCAAATGGTAAGAAAAGAGAGGAAAGATGGTGTGTTAAATGGCTACATTTATGAGAGAAGGAAATGAAGCTGTAAAATTTTTAAAGTCATTAGGCGTAATAAAGAGTAGAATGAACACTGAAGGCCATTTTTAAGCTCTCTCAGATCGCAGATGAAGGGGGCCCACCTTAAGCTGGAGACTAATCTCAAATCTTAGCTCAAATCTTAGACAGCGACGTGTTACAGAGGCGCAAGTCTAGATCCAAGAGTGCTAAGAAGGGATTCCATCCTTTATAATTACTCTACTCTTGAAAGACCTTAAACAGAAAGCCATGGTCCACAGCAACACGTACTGAAGTCTGCTGCTCTCAAACTACCCAACTCTGGCACCTTTCCATTCCTCTACACGGTACACGCTTCCATTCACTGCCAAGAGCTTTTTCTCTCCTCCCTTTCTTTGTCTTTGATTCTTCCTTTTTGGGGAAAAGGCTCAGTTCATCCCAATAAAAAAGTAATAAATCTGTCTATAAACTTCCCCTTTCCTTTCCCCTCTGTCAAGGGCATTTATTTCCAGGATTCTTCTTGGTGGTTTGGCAAAGGAAAACAGGAGGAAGTCCTTCTCCCAGGCTGTTAATGTTTATATTGTCATAGATTGAAGTGTGTCTGTCTGCTTATTACTTCTCTTCCCTTGTTACGGTCTCTTTCCGAACATCTGTTCTGTCCCCCGTATCTATGTTTCATCCAGATAATACCTCCTCTCTGATCATTTATCTGTCACGTATCTAAGAAGTGGGTAGTTAAGAATCAGGCAAGGCTGTTCTGTCGATCTACAAATCCTTTCAATATTCTCGCCCCCACGGTGCTCTCTCCCGGATTTCTGCAGCACCGGCACGTGGCTTGCAGCTAGGCATGGACTGTGGCAGCTTTTATATCCATTTCCAGCAGAGAATGATCAGGCCCTTGAGAGAAGCTGGTACAGATGCCCAAGCAGGCAGCCTGGCTAAGCTAAGAGAAAATTCATGTGTGTACAGTTACATCCCAAACAATGAACTCAAACATCTGAGCGAAGGCTGGGCCCTCTTGTCCCATAGCATCGGGAAAGGATCAGGGGCATAGTTTATCTTGCTTCAGAATTTGCCACCAGAAACATCTCTGGTCTGCTGACCATGGTGGACTCCAGAAATCTGAATTCCTGGGTCCTGTGATTTTCAGACACACTTTGTGGGCAGCGCTGATGTGATCTGTTGTGTGTGGTCAGCGGGTCTCGCCCGGAGGCCACAGAGCTTCCTGCTTTACATGTGGGTTGTTGATGTTATGTGGACTTTGGAATAGTGGTTGGAAAGAACACTGAGGGTCAAACTAGACTGCTGGTCTTATGCCAGTAGTCTGGGATAAACAGCTGTTTCCCCCTTCTGGGCCAGCGCTGGAATTAAAACATGGTCCGTCTGCCCCATGGTTCAGAGCAGCCTCTCCTACTCAGCTGGAGCAGACGAATCAGAACCCCTGGCTGTTTCTGTTATTGCTGTCGTAAGGCAGGGACCAGTCTGAGATCTGTCCCTACTCCCGGTTCCTCCTGCCTGCAGGGTCAGTTTCAAGGGGTCCACGTTTTTTTAAGAAGTTGGATTTTCAGGGAATTTACCTCATTTGGACTTCTGAATATTAAGCAATGTTCTTGGAGGTTTCAGTGTCATATTGGAGCATGGTGATCTCCTTCTAACTTGCTCAGTCTGGCATCACTGGAGCTCAGAAAAAGCTATGTTGCCACCGTTTCCTAAATTTCTGCCTCGTTAAAAAAAAAGTTAACAGCTTTATTAAAGTATAGTTGATAAACAACAGACAAACTGAACCTATTTAATGGAGATAATTTGGTAAGTTTTGACATACATATATACCTGTGAAACCATCACCCCAATTAAGGAATATCCATCATGGCCACAAGTTTCTCTTGCTGCTTTGTAACCACTCCCTCCCACTGGCTTACTTTGTCACCATATATTAGTTGCTCCGTGTCATTATTCGCACTTGATAGGGGTCAGGACTAGCGAGCAGAAGTAAGCTGCACCAGCACCCCTGCTATGTGGGCTCAATTCCAAATGCACCATTTCCATCTTAGAAGGTTAGAAACACCATGCAACAATCCACTGTGACTTAATGGGCCAGTTACTGCCCAGCTTGTAACAGATGAGACGGATGCTCGCAAACTGTCCCACATCTGTACCAGGCCCTAATAATACACCAGGAACTGTTTCTCAGAGGCCTGTAACTCTCTGTCGTAGATGACACGGCCTTGCTTCAGAACCCCAGGGGCTTTCCATAAACTACAATGAAACATTCCTCACCACTGATAACATCAGGACCACTGAATCATCTGACTGAAGATGTAAAGCTGCTTGCATCATAGTCGGGACCTGATAAAGAGCACATTCCTGCTCGGGGCCCCACTTAAAACTGGAAGCCTTTTAGTATCGCCTAATTTCTAGGCCAGACCAGTGTCTCAGATGAGGAATCTGCTGTCCCCAGAATGCAAGAACACCGACCAAGCAATATGCTTTCTTCTTTGTGGCAAAGTACGTAAGAAGCAGCTCCATTACTTAGGAGCGATCCAGGCACATTCCTGGCCACTAGATCTCTAGAAACCATTAAAATTAGATTCCTGAATCTTGTAAGGGTTCATCTCTTGCTTTCTATGAAGCATGGTTCTTATCAAAGCCTTCAGTGTATTAGCAAACTCGTACGCATCCTGCCCAATCAGCATGTTTTTACAGATATAATGGATCCATGTAATGATGTTCTTTCCATACTCACATGGCCCAGAGCTCTTCTCACTATGTTATAATAGTGAGGTGGAGTCACTGTGGTTTATAAATGCATCTTCTTGTCCATTCCATGTGAATGTTTTCCCCAGGGCTATTTTTGATACTCTTTCCTGAATTGGCTAGGAAAAAAAAATACATTCACCTAATCAATGGCTATATACACTTGACTCATTCATCTGCTCTCACAAAGGTACTACCCCCAGCACAGCAGCCACAATTAGTTTCTATTTGGTTGAGTCTGTGGCAGTATGCATCCTTGCCATCGTATAATGAGGCACCCCATAATCTACTGCGGCAACTCAGGCATTTCGGCTGTGCTCAGAATGGGTGATCATTTTCTTTTTTTTTTTAATTGAAGTATAATTGATTTACAATATTATATTAATTTCAGGTGTAGAGCATAGTGATTCAGTATTTTTATAGATTATACTTCATTAAAAGTTATTACAAGATAATGGGTTTAACTCCTTGTGCTGTGCAGTATACCCTTATTATCTGTTTTATACATACTAGTTTATATCCCTTAATCTCATATGCCTCCCCCTTCCCGCCTCCCTTTTTAGTAACCATGAGTTTCATTTCTGTATCTGTGAGTCTGTTTTTGTTTTGCATTTGCATTCATTTGTATTTTTTTTAAATTCCACATAGAAGTGATACCATACCGTATTTGTCTTCCTCTGACTTATTTCACTAAGCGTAATATTCTCTAGGTCCATCTACATTGCTGCAAATGGCATAATGTCATTCTTTTTTATGCTGAGTAATATTCTATACACACACATACACACAAGAAGATGTGAATATATATATCTTCTTTATCCATTTGTCTGTTGATGGGCATTTGGGTTGCTTCCATATCTTGACTATTATAAATAGTGCTGCTGTGAACATTGGGGTGCATGTATCTTTTTGAATTAGTGCTTTCATTTTTGTCTAGATATATACCCAGGAGTGGAACTGCTGGATCATATGGGAGTTCTGGTTTTTAATTTTTTTTATAAACCTCTATACTGTTTTCCATAGTGGTTGCACCAATTTATATTTTTCACCAACAGTGTACAGGGTTCTGTTTTCTCCACATCCTCTCCAACATTTGCTACTTGTAGTCTTTTTGATGATGGCCATTCTGACAGGTGTGAGGTGGTATCTCATAGTGGTTTTTGATTTGCATTTCCCTGATGCTAGTGATGTTGAGCATCTTTTCATGTGGCTTTTAGCCAGCCATCTGTGTGTCTTCTTTGGAGAAATGTCTATTCAGGTCTTCTGTTCAATTTTGGATTGGTACAAGCTGTTTATATATTTTAGATACTAACCCTTTGTTATCATTTGCAAATATTTTCTCCCATTCCATAGATTGTCTTTTGGTTTTATTGACGGTTTCCTTTGCTATTGAAAAGCTTTTAAGTTTAATTAGATCCATTTTAAAATTTTTGCTTTTATTTCTTTTCCCTTAGGAGACAGATCTAAAAAAAAACACTGCTATGATTTATGTCAAAGAGTGTTCTGCCTGTGTGCTTTTCTAGGAGTTTTATGTTTTCAGGTCTCAAATTTAGGTCTTTAATCCACTTTAAATTCATTTTTATATATAATATGAGGTAATGTTCTAATCTTATTGTCTTACATGTAGCTGTCTAGTTTTCTCAGTACTACTTGTTGAAGAGACTTTTTTCTCCATTATATATTCTTGTTTTTAATTATCTCTAGGCTTCTAAGTAAGTGCCACTTTAGCAGTTAGTTTGTCGTAGTCCCTAGGAGGGTGGGGAAGTGTTTTAAATCTTGTGTACCCAAGTCAATGAATTATTGCTTATCCAGTCTTATATTTCAGCCAAAGAACACTCAAAATCCAACCCTAAAGCTAGCACATGCTAATCCCTACAACTTCCTATGGTTATAATCGCTCTCTTTCTTGTCGCCCAGGTATCCTAGCCATGTTGTTATTGGATAACCCTAATTACACAACTCTGGGAAATTTCTAACGAGAGCTGCTGCCACCTTGTGTACAAGAGGATTATACACTACCTTTCACAGAGTGATAGCAGGGGTGGGGCTAGCTCCAAAAAGGAGGGTTGCACTGTCTCTGGAGTGGTTTTAGTCCAGAAATCCACAGTTTACAGGAGGTATCCATCCATATTGGCTTCCTAGGTTTTCCCAACCAGACTCTAGCCTTAACATACCAGACCCCCTTGGCTGAGAGGTCAACCATTTTTGAAGCTCAACAGCCGTATCAATCACATCCTTAGTCTCGTTCTTGGCTTTGTCTGATCTTCTACTGCAGGAGATAAGAGCTTCTTTAGAAACTGTAAGAGGGACTTCTGCCCTCACATTCAGCCTTTAACTGTTTGTTAATTACCCTTAATTTTCTCATTATAGCTCGCAGGGTATCAAGTCATCTTTAAAGATATAGCCAGTCCCAAAGCTATGGGGGAACAGTGCACACATAGGAAAATATCATGGTTGGCAGAACAGCCCGGTTGCTGCTGTGATGCAGGTTTTTGTCTAAGTGACTACTGGTGAAGTATTTAGTAATGGGGCTGCCACTTAATGCCATGGATTATCCATGTCCCAGATTCCACTCAAGACGAGGTCTTCCTTATCTGTCTGGTAATGAATATTCTCAGAATCCCATATTATCTCCTGCCTTCTTTGTTTGACCACTCCTAATACCAATTGTGTTGGTTCTGGTCTTTTGGGAAGCATATGCTAAGAAGAAGTTAGAAGTCTAAGAGAGTTACTGTGAAAGACAAAGGGAAGAGAGAGCAGAAGTAGGCAGGGAAAGACTTCAGGCCATGAATAAGGTCTTATACCTGTGAAAGGTGAGGGCAAATGGAAAGAGATTGGGAAAGGAAGAGCCTCAAACTATGATACAACTCTGAGAATGCCCTGGGGCTCTTGGCTGGGCTGGCCAAGACTAAGATTGGCTATAGAAACATCTCAAGTTGGGCAGAAATGTCTTGTGTCTTGTACAACTGCCATGCTCAGTCATTGGGCTGGGCGCTGCTCATAAAGAGTGTGGCCTTGGCTTGGATACTTCAGGGGATCCTAAAGGAACTCCTTACAACCAGTGTAAATTTTTTCTTGGAGGAAAGTTAGAATGACATCTATATGGATTGATATACCAAACACAACCAAACCCTAGTGACATAATGCTTCCAGAGGAGACAGATGACAACTTAAGTGCTGTTATTTTTAATCAAAATTCAAGAGCAACAAAGACACTCCCTAGAACTTAATGATCTGATTTTCTTTATTTCCTTTATTTTTTATTATTGAAGTATAGTTAATTTACAGTATTAACTTCAGGTATACAGCATAGTGATTCAGTAGTTTTGCAGATTATAATCCATTAAATGTTACTGAAAGATAACAGATTTAATTCCCTGTGCTATACAATATATCCTTGTTGCTTATCTATTTTATACATACCAGATTGTATCTCTTAATCCCATACCCCTAATTTCCCTTTCCCTTTTGGTAACTGCAAGTTTGTTTTGCATATACATTCATTTGTATTATTTTCAGATTCCACATATGAGTAATATCATACAGTATTCATCTAGCTCTGTCTGACATTTCACTAAGCATAATATTCTCTAGGTCCATTGACACTGCTGCAAATGCAAATGGCATAATTTCATTCTTTTTATGACTGAGTAATATTCCATTGTGTAAGTGTTGTGTTGTATGTATGCCATGTCTTTACTCGTTCATCTGTTGATGGGTACTGGGGTTGCTTCCATATCTTGGCTATTGTAAATATTGCTTCTGTGAACATTGGGGTGCATGTATCTTTTTGAATTAGTGTTTTCACTTTTTCCATATAGATACCCAGGAGAGGAATTGTTGGATCATATGGGAGTTCTGTTTTCAATTTTTTTATAAACCTCTATACTGTTTTCCATAGTGGTTGCACCAATTTATATTTCCACCAACATTGTGCAGGGGTTCTGTTTTCTCCACATCCTCTCCAACATTTGCTACTTGTAGTCTTTTTGATGATGGCCATTCTGACAGGTGTGAGGTGGTATCTCATTGTGGTTTTTGATTTGCATTTCCCCGATGCTAGTGATGTTGAGCATCTTTTCATGTGCCTTTTAGTCAGCCATCTGTGTGTCTTTGGAGAAATGTCTATACAGGTCTTCTGCCCATTTTTCAATTGGGTTGTTTGTTTTAATATTGAGTTGTATGAGCTGTTTATATATTTCGGTTATTAATCCCTTGTCAGTCACATCATTTGCAAATATTTTCTCACATTTTGTAGGTTGTTTTTTTGTCTGGCCTGATTTTCTATTGAAACTCTTATGTAAGTGAATGAATAAAATGGATTCTGATTTTCTAGGACACTAAGTTGGTACTCAAAAAAAGACTTTTTTTTAAAGCACAGGATAAAAGTACAAAGATACAGATATCATGAGGGGAAAATAAAAGACTTGGAGCATAGATCTAGGAAACTAATGTATAAGTAATAGAAATTCCAATAGCGGATAGGAAGATCTGTACCATTAACATGTAAGAAGATAATCATTAAATAGAATAATTTTTTCATAAAACCAACACCAAACTGAATTTGAATATTGAAAGGACTCAGAAAATTGCATGATGAATTGATTTAAAAAAGATCAACTTGAGCATATCTTAATTAAACTTTTCTGAACTCCAAAATCAAATGAAAGTCTTTAAAGATCCTAAATAGAAAAACAAAACAATGAACAACAACAAAAATAAACAGGCAGCAACACTGTAGACGCCATGTCAGTTTCTCCTAGCTTCAGACCAACAGCAGAGTATCTTTGCTCCACATAGGAGTCCTAGCTTGCAGTTCTTTTATCTCAGAGAAATAAGGAAGATATAATCTCAGAATTGAGGCATATCTACTGATAGCACACATTTACTACATCTGAGGAAAACATCTGAAAAAAATCTTCAAATGACTATGCAAGAAGGGAGATCAACATGGGGGAAGATGCAGAAAGGAAACGATGAAAAATAAACCTTGAAATGTAATTAAATCTAAATAGATATTAGATTATCTGGGAATACACAGCATTGGTGCCATAGAAGGACAATTCCTACAGACTGTAATACAATTAATTATCTCAGCAAAACCTGGAAGTTGTCAGAG